ACAATAAGCTTATACGTATCGATTTTGATATGCAAAGCTTATTAGATCGAGATTATGCATTACTTGATTTGGAAATCAGTGATCGTCAAATATTTACTAAGTATTTGACTATCAAATAATTATTTGATTATGCCGAGCACTAACTGTGAATTTAAACAAGAAAAAGAGGAGAATTCTTGTTAAAGCTGTTTAAGTGAAGAGAAGATACAGGGCTCTATAACAAGACTCGTTGACAAACAAAAAGGGAAAGCTCTAAAGATTGATCTAGAAATGATATATTCAACACAATTTTTCTCCAAATTGATGATACTGAGAGGCAAAAGTGTAGTTCAAGAAATTAGAGTACACGATTTGGATGCAGAAATCATCAGGAAACAGCAAATTGGGCAAGAAATGCAGGACTTTTTGTTAGAGAAGAATAGAAAATTACAAGAATGCTCACTGACACAGTTCAAATTTTATACTGACGGATTATTAAGAAACAGTAGAAGACAATCTTAGTCAGAATCAGACAGAATGGGAGCAAACTGGGTACTTGTAGACGAAGAAAAGAGAGAAGTAATCGATGAAGTTTATTTTGGAGCAAGAAATTGGCCATCTTCAACAAAAGCAGAGTTACTTAGAATTTGGTGCGTACTGCTTATTACACTCAGCAAAAAGAGGATTAAGATTTGCACAGACAGTGTAGTAGCTATAACTAAGGTAGAAGGAAGAAAACAAAAAAGGCCAGCAAGGCAATGGTATAAGGAGTGAAATTACGATCTGATAAAATGTATTTTAGATATAGTAGAAATAAAAGAATTATAATTAGAATTAGAAAAGGTTAAAGGCCATAGTAACAATAGTTAAAACAATAAAGCAGATAAATTAGCTAGATTAGGATCTAAAATAGAAGATAGAGATAGAATTATAGAAAAACCTCCTCAGGAGTCGAACGTCACTTTATACTGGAAAGAGACAATAGTCAAAAACCTTACAAGAGAATTCCTACGAATGATTCTCAACCTCAAAACAGAAGAGAATGTAAATCTTCTTCAGCTATAAGGAAATTAGAACCGGAAGACAGCATACAAAACTAATACTGGCCTGTTTTATGAAAAAGAATCAAAGAACAGAGTGGTATACAATGTACAAGTTCAAGGAAGAACAAGCATCTAGGTGTGCTGGTTAAATGCTTACATGAAAAACTACTAGTACTTAAAACATTATCAGCCAGAAAACCAGAGTTATACGACAGTCCTACATATATAATATGTAAAAAAGGTGAAGAAGAAGACCAGGAACACTTGATGACATGTGAGAAGTATGAACTTATATGGAAGGATGAAGAGCAACTAGCCTGGAATCTGGCCTGGACAGCCCTATCAGAAGAAACTTGCAGTTACCTTAACAGAATACAGCTCAGGAAGACTTTGTAGGGTTTATCAGAAGAAGAAAAGAATGAAACCAGGGCCAGCATACTTAAAGGTTTGATTAAAGAAGAGGTCACAAAAAGAATCCTCGAAATGGTAAGAAGTCTGAAAGAACTTAGAATCTATGTAGATACTGCAATCAACTCAGCTTGGAATTATTTCTATGAAAACATTTGGAAACCAAGATGTGCATATATAAATGAATGGGAAAAGAAGAAAGAAATTGGTCCAAAAGAAAAGAAAGGGAAAAGCCCTAGCCCCAAAAAGCTAAATCCTAGCAATAAAGAGGGAGAATTGATTCCAGAAGGAGTAAATAGTCAAGATCAAACCAAGAGGAAAGTTAAAAAGAAAGAAAATGATGAATGCAAAGAGGAGGAAGTAAAAGAAAGTACTTGGTTTGAAGCAATTAAAAATTTTATTAAAAATAAAACAAAGCCATTCTGATATAGCTTCACAGGCTAGCTTGGTGCAGCCCTCCAGTGTGGACATATGCCTTATCCGGTGAGGCAGACCATCCCTGGGCGCTCAATAAAGTAGCTGGGGAATGTCAGATCTGTAGTTTAGATAGTTGAATATATATTTATATATATGATTTAATCTAATAAAGATACTGGCGAGGCTACCAATAGTTAAAAAAAAAAAAATTAATAATATTATATTAATTTATTTTATAATTTAACTTTATTTTATAGCACAACAAAATTTATTTGAAAATCAATTACAATTATTAACAAAAGTATTATATAAATATGAAAAACAAAATAATAATTATTTATTAGATCCAAATAGTTTTAAACATTTAATTGAAACTGAAGAACCTCAATTAAGTAGATTATTAGATAAAATGACAAATGCTTTAGTTCCTGAAAGAAGAACTGAAAAAAATAAAATAAAAGCACAACAAATTATTAGTCAATGCTATTTTTTAGCTGGATTATATAGTCAAAATATAAATAAATATAAAACTGATCTTAGTTTATATTTATTATCTTGTAGATTAAGTACAACTGAAATTAATTTTCTTAATAAAGCTGGAATAACTATAAATTTACAAACATTATATAATTATAAAGAAAAAATTAAAAATAATCATTCAATTAAAATTAATGAATATTTTGTTTCTAATGTAAGTAAATTATAATATTTTTATAATTATTTAATATTAAAAAATTAATAATATATTTATAAATTATATTTAGATAAATAATTTTTATTGTTTTAATATTGATAATTTTCATGATATTCATACATTACAACAACCAAATAATACAACACTTTTAATTACAAATCATTTAGCAACATGTGTAACTAAACCTATTGAAAATCAACAATCAGTTTTAGCAATTTCAAATAATCATTCATTTTTTAATCCAGAAAATATTGAACCAACTAAAATTATAATTAATTTAACTTCTAAATATAATGGTTGTTTTGATAAAAGCTATAATGAATATAAAATGGAATGGATATCTTCTAATAATTTTCAAATTAATTCTCAAAATTGTATAGAGTTATTAACTTTATATATATATGATAATGCAATTAAAGAACGTAAAGAAGAAAAATCAATAAAAAATATAAGAGTTATTAAAGTTAAAAAATTAAATTTATATTCAATGAATGATTATTTAAAAGCTTTTAAAATGATTACAAATATTAATTCATTATCACAATATTTAAAAAATAATATAATTCCAATTATTGCAGATTGGCCAGGACAATTATTTATTAAAAAAATAATTATACAATCTAGATTAAATCCAAATTTAATGCCAAATAATGTTAAAAATTTTATTCTAATTTTAGGTCCACTTCATGTTTCTTTAAATTTTGAGAACAAGTCTTTTTTAAATGATTTTTTCATTTTGTTTTTGGAGATCGAAAAAAATTAGCTAAAAAACTAAGATCATGGAGAATTAATTTAATTTTAGAATTAATTCATGAAGGATAGAAAGCAATAGCTTATATTATTTTAGCTAAATTTGATAGTATATGTAAAGATATAGAATATCGAATGTTATTAAATATTTTAGATAATTTAATACCTGCAACATTAAATATATATGCTATACTTTTTAGATCAGGTTCATTTGATCAATATGTTGAAACTATATTTAGACTATAGATATTTGCATTAAGATGGGAAAGAAAAAATTATAACAAAGCACCTTTAGTATTTCTTTCTAATTATTTTTATTGGTGTGATATAAATTATCCATTCTTTAGCTAAAATATTATCTGATCATTTAGTAAATTTTAATGATTATTTTGTAGATAATATGCATAGTTATCTTCATGCAAATATTAATTCACATAGTACTATTAAAGAAATTAAACAACAAGCATATATATTAGATTATAATCATTATAAAACTCAACTAGATATTTTTAAATCAACAAGATTATATATATATAATTCTAAACAATTAGATTATTTAACACAAAAAAGTAGTTTATTTTTGATAAAACATTTTCAAAAAGTTTATCTTAAACTTAATAAGAGTAAACAAATACAAAAAACACAATATTATATAGCTGGATTAGATGAAAATATAGATTTTAAATGTCTTTCAACAGGTTATCTTACATCACATATACTAACAAAAAATACATATGATAAATGCAAAAAATCATTTAGTAAATTAAATGGAAAAGTATATATTTGTAGACATACATATCATACAAATTGTTATAAAAATATGCATTTAACATATGACTATTGTTTGCAATATTATAAAAAAGGAATTTTTTCAAACATTAAATCCTTTTTAAAAAGATTAGAAAAACTGATGTCGTGGCCAATTGCAGTACTACAGGGTCTTGTTCGTTTCCACTTAGACAGAACACTCACTTGGCGCTGGTGTATCGTACCAGGCACTGCCACCACTTCACTTCGACGCTACAAGGGCAACCACTTAGTTTATAATAAGAACGTTACTAAAGCCAAACTTAAACGCTGCCTTTATTATTATTAGATCGCTCAATTTAAATACAAAGATTATCTTCGGATTAATTATTATCCGGGTTACACGCATTAGACTATCACTAGATTAGACTTTTAATTAATTTTATGCAAATCCGCATCACGCCACTTATGCAAATCCCGATCCAAATCGAACCCGGCACCACGAAATCCCGGGGTATCGAATTAACCCGTGACACTAGTACCAAAAGTGACCATCAAATTTTAATCTCATCCTGAGTCTTTTTATATACACTCATAGATAAATGACATACCTCTACCAGCACATGTAAAAGATATTTCTCTACAAAAATATGAACATGAGCAATAGTAATTATATGCTGACTAAATCTTTTCCAATCTTTTATTAAACAACACACCACTTACAACCAATACTTCTGAATTACTCGAATGCATCTGGCATTAAATTCAAACCAGTATAATCTCTGCAGCTCTTCAACATATATGTATCTAACAAACAATTCACTATATACAACTTTCAATATATTACTCTTCTAAAGCATCTTTACTACACTTTTTCACTTTAAAAAATTAAGTAATATTATTCATCAAATTAAAGCATCTATTAGAAACAAAACTCCTATACCTAACAATCACAATGCTACAATCAACTCTCTCACAACCTTAAAATTTCAACTATACTAACCAGTTATGATCTTTTGCCAAGCTGAATCACTAACAGCAATGATGCATAAAAAGCTTTTTATTATACACATAATATTGAAAACATTAAAGAAATAAGACAACAGATTAATAACAATATTACCAAGAGATGCGATAGGCTTTATACCAATTCCAAATTTATGATTAATAGTATACTCAACTAATACAAATATCCTGTAAAATTTGATAATATTATAATAGACATTGATGTTATCACCAACACCTATGATATCAAAACCCATATACAACAACATTTTGATTAGTAGACTGGTCCCTAAAATATTGATGAAGCTATCTTTAACTCTATATAGTATACCGAATATAAACCTCAAGATCATATCAACTCAGATTGGTACCAAAGTGCACTCTTTGAATTTTCTACTAAGGAGGTCTTATCTACTTTTGCACAATTATCTAACAACAAAGCCTGTGATCCTTCAGACATTAGCTATGAAATGCTCAAACATGCAGATTTACTCTTCTTGCAAGCAATTACATCTCTATTTAATCTCTCTATAATTATATTGCTTTATCAGACAACATTCCTCTATTCCTATACATATCTATAACAATATTATAGAAGATGCTATCTGTAATTCCAAAAATCTCTGGCTCATATCCTAGGATATGAGTAAAGCTTATGATTCTGTTAATTCTAACCTATTTTGAAAAGCTTTTTTATATTTAAATATGCCTTTGCAACTTATTGACACTCTTTTCAATTTGCTTATTAACCAACACAATAGAGTTATCTCAAATCTAGGTCTTACTGATATATACTAGGTTCAAAATGGTATTGATTAAGAAGAAACAATAACTTCTCTTTTTTAGAGAATCTATTATAACTCTCTTATATATAAAATTGTATCCAAGTTTTCTGGATATACTCTATTTACAAAATGGCAAACAAATTTATACTCTCTAACCAACTACCATCTTCAAACCTCTATATCTGTATTAGTATATATGGATGACACTTTATGAATATCTTACTCTAAAGAAGAAATAGAACATATCATCTCAACTACCAAGTTCTTTTACCAAATGGCCAACCTTTAAGTCAATCCTAATAAATCTATATTTGCTACAAATTTAAATCTACTATATTATTCATTAATTCAATATTAAGGTTAATACCTATCAATGAACTCTTTAAATATCTTAGTTGCTGGTTTACATTAAGTAACAAGCAATCAGAACAAATTAAACAAATACAACAAGAAATGTACCAACTAATCTATATCGCCAACACCAAAAAAATTACTGACAAATAAATAACTTATATCATTAATACCATCATTATTTCAACTTTAGAATATAGATTACACAATATAGTACTTTCTTGTACTATATATAACAATATTCTAACTAAATATCTTACAGTTGCTAAACACAAATCACACCTTTCAAGATCTGTTCCAAACAGTACTATGCACAATTTATCCCTATATAATATCCAAAATATATAGGATAGTTAATTACAACATCATACTTCCAACTTTTTTATACGTATTATTGATCCTAACTTATTAGGCATCACAACTTATATCAGGCTTCAACAGCTCCAGAATAATCTATGGTCTAGCACTAATATTCTGCAACACTCTAATTCTATAATTGATAGACCCAATAAGTCTTCACTTAACTACAAACTTATACAACTTTTTGTTCATCTTTGTATATAAGGTGAGTATACACAGTGCCTAATTTGGTGCATTTATAATATCTCATAATCTATTGATTAGAATTACATGATTTTGGTACTATTAAATTTATCTTGGTAAGACAAATTAAATGATACCTAAATCATGTGATTCCAATTAATGGATCATAAGATATCACTATTTGTGTAAATTTTCTTCAATTAAGATCCTGACAAGAAAATGGATCAATATCTTAAAAACTGATTTGTGCTAAAAAAATTGAACCTTCTATATTAATTCAAGTTGTTAGTGTTAATAAATCCTACATATTTTTATATTTTAATTACCTATTAATAGAATAGTTGTGTCTAATTTATGCATTATCTATTAATAGAATAGTTATTAATTTGCGCATTATTAAAATTGCATACTTGGGTATATTTAATTACTTGGGCACATTTAATTATAGCTCAGATCCAATTCAGATAACTTTTTGAGACCTACATACTTTGACCTCTCTTATTTAACCCTGTAGCACGTTGTTTTCATTAAAAAATACACAAAAACATCACAAACACAAAGCATATAATATAATAAACTTTATGTAAAATAAAAAAAAGCACCGCATATTTTAAAATTTATTTGGCTCAAAAACAAACGATTAATCGTAAAATTTCGTCACATGTAATCTCAAAGTATATTATTATAAATAATATAAAAGGCAATGCAACGTTCATAACAATAAATAGTTAAATGTTAATAAGTAAAAAAATTTTTTTTTAAAATCATTTATTATATTCCAAAAAGTCTTATCATAAAATAATGCCTAAGTATAATGACTATACTACCTGATATAATGCTATTAATAATACCCTTGAGGCAATTAAAAATCTACCAAATAACTTAGTTACAAGCATCAGAAGTATCATGCAAAATTATAGTCTTCTGAAAACTTTTCTTCGACGTAGCATCAAAAATGGTGGTCCTTCCACTCATCCGGACCATGCCAAAATATTAATCAACTATGAGAAAGTTACTGTCTGAACATGCAGAAGCTCAGTTTTGAGTTAACAAAATCTGGTGTTAGCCAGTGCGTTATGGATATTGTTTATCAAAACAGGCAGCCTAATCCTTTTGGTGAAAATAGGCTATAGCAAAAATGGTAGCAGCACTTCATAAAAGACCACCCAGAACTTTTATTTCATGTTCTACAAGCTCTAAATGAAGCCTATATACAAAGAGCAAATCCTATTATCATCAAAGAATACTTTGAGAAACTTAAAAAAATTATTCATGAATACTCACTTACTGCTAACCGAATTTAGAACATAGTGATGTCTTTTTTTTTTTTTTTTTTTGGTTTTTTTTCTTTTTTTCTTGCTGCAGTCTTTCTTGCTGTGGTCTTTCTTGCTGCAGTCTTTTTTGCTGTGGTTTTTTATTTTTTATTGAAATTTTGTTAAAATCAGACTAACTGATTTGCTTAAATGTCAGCCTATATTTCATTATATATTGTGTATTAGTACATAATAGATATGACAGTTAGTACATAATAGATGTAACAGTTAGTGCATAATGAGTGTGACAGTTAGTGTATAATAGGTGTGACAGTTAGTGCATAATAGATGTGATAGTTAGTGCGTAATAAGTATAACAGTTAGTATATAATAGAATGACAGTTAGTATATAATAGGTGTGACAGTTAGTGCATAATGGGTGTGACAGTTAGTATATAATAGGTGTGATAGTTAGTGTGTAATAAGTGTGATAGTTAATATGTAATAGATATAACAGTTAGTGCATAATAAGTATATTAGTTAGTGTATAATAGGTGTGATAATTAGTGTGTAATAGATGTGATAGTTAGTGCATAATGGGTGTGACAGTTAATGTGTAATGGATGTGATAGTTAGTGCATAATGGGTAAAATATAATAGATGTAACAATTAAAATATTAAATTATATAAATAGGTTGATTTTTAATTAAATCAGCCTGGCTGGTGATTAGAATTGTTCTTTTTATTTTATTTTTTTTTCTTAAGGATGAAAAAGGTTTTGTCATCAACTGAGGCTCCAAAAGGTTATAGTAAAGAAGAGAGCATATCAGATTCATCAGGTTTCACATAGCAGCTCTTATGAGCATATTTCCGTATGCCCAACCATTTTAGCAGCTGGGACATACATCCCACTACTTATTATTTTTAAGGGCAAATGAGTAATTCCAGGTCTTTTGAATGATGCACTTGCTGGTTCTATCATGGGGTTCACTGAAACAGGATACATGTGGGAAAGCCTATTTCAAATATACATAGAATATTTTGTTAGTTCTATTCCGCCTGCACGTTCTGTTTTGTTAATTCTAGATGGTCATAAAAGTCATATCAATTATCCTAGTATCAACTATTGCTATAAGCACAACATACTTCTTTATATGTTCACCTTTATACTGCTTATATTTTACAGCTATCTAAATTACCATTTGCCATGCTAAAAAAAATGTATAATACAGTCCGGGAATATACCAAATTTGGAAATCACGTTCTAGAAAGATTTACAAACAGGTTCTTGTATTTGATTGGTCATTACACTTTTTTTTATGCACGTATTTGTGCTAGGGTTTTACAAGATTTTATCTATCTATTCGTTGCTAAACGATATATGAACAGATATAATCCCAAATAATCATGCATAGTAAGTTGTTCTCAAAAGGTAAATGAGAACATAAATTTATGTTTGTTTTTTGCATATTGTTAAGTGATTAAGTAAAAAAAAGTAAAAAAACGTATACTAAATAGCCTTTTAGATCGTTTAGT